TCTTTTTTGCTTTTCTGAAATTCCTGCAAAGGAGCAGCTAGAGATGATAATTTCCTTACATAATTAACTCAGGTGATTCATAGTTTCCATTGAAATCTTTGCAGCATTGTACAAATCTAAAATGTGTTTTGTATTATCATCTCTACAGTTCAAATCAGGGGGCGACTTGGCAGATGTTAACTCTTCATCCCCCACCAACTGGGAGTTTCTGTGTGAATCTGAGGCTGGAAGGGGGAGATTGTTCTTGGAGAGACTTTGTTCTATGACTCAGCTGGACAGGAGTAAGCCTCTCTTTACGAAACAATATAACAAAACAATGAAATTACCATGAAAGGAGGTTTTCCGTCTCAGCTGAGACTTCCAACAACCATCAAGAGAAACACTCCTTCATTTCCAACTGAAGAGAGCTGTTGCATTTAAAAGGGGACAGGAGAAAGGAGCACACAAGAGTACAGCTGTGTAAAGGAAGGGGTGGGGGACATAAGAGAACATTTTATTTAGTACCGCCACTCTAGGCCTACTCCGCATTGGCTGGCAGGGATCCAAGTCTACTCAATGAACTCCAACTGTATTGTCTTTGTTAATAAGCAAAGTTGAAGGTAAACTGAGAATACTGGAACAGGCTCAGAATTTGATTATGTCTAGTAAACTGATACAATACAATCAGGAACTAGCACAGAGAGAGAACAGAGATCTGAAAGAGGAAGGGGATCCACTACACATGGTGATGAGTAAGCAGAACAGGAGGTCATCTGATAAGAAATAAGATCAGGGAAAGAGTCTTCCAGTCTCTGGCGAGGCTTCAACTCACGCATTGATTTAAACACTCTTCCTGTCTCTTGCAAACTCCTGAATTGTTTGTAGTAAATTGTATATTTCCTGTTTGTTATCTGGTTCCTGCATACAATACATGCACCCTTTCCTTTTCTATCACTATGTGTGTTATTATGTGTCTTGCTTTTTCCTCGTAGTTAATTGACTGAAAACGTTTTTGGAAGAGGAAACTGTTTGAGAGGCCAGTCTTTTTTGTGGATATAGGAGGCCTGCAAATAGACGACTGTGCTGACATTTGGTACAGACATTTAAGAATCCTGCTGAATATTTCTGTAGTGCTTCCAGAAGACCAAGACAAGTCGCCACTTAACCTGCAATATCTCAAAATCGACTTAATGGAATTTCTTATGAATAGTCATGGTTCCCACAAGGTGAATCCTAATGACTTTGGTGATCCCCTGACCTTTCCTCTACTGCCACCCTGAGGTTTACATTTGCTGTTTTGAGTAAAATGTCTCAACAACAGTGGAATGGATTGCCATACAATTTGCTACATTTATCTCCCCTTAAGGCTAAATTGCATTTGCTGATCCCCTGACTCTCTATGAAGCATCATAATCATGTCAACATTTTGTATCTACTTGTTGTAGGTTACCAAATTCTAAATCTGGAGTATTTTAGCACGATGATGTCAATAATTAACTTGAAGCGCCACTGTATCTAAGTACAGCCTTGTTGATGGCATTGCTTCAGAGGCTAACATTGTATTATTGTGTATAGAACGCATATTGCTATACCAGCCTGAGGTACATTTTACCCATATAAAGTATTGAATGCAGATATAGGTGTTGAAGTTGGCTTGCATCTGAAATGTTGCAACCTCTATAAATCTTTCTAAGAGAGTTTGCATGACATCAGCTATAAGGTACATGTTTGTCATTGCTTTCCCAAAAGCACACATGCATTCCAGAAATGGCCTCTGCTCAGTTTAATGATCAAGGGAAGAATGCAACCCTTGGCAGGGGAATTAATCTTACTCAATGTTGTGGTATGCAGCATCCTAGCTCTCTGTTAGTGCAGTTTGAGGTCCGCATAGAAAACAAGAAAAGAAAACTAACTCTAACTACAAAGATAAATGGCCTAAATTCTGTACCTGGTTAATAAAATGAAGTTTTACTTCCTGGGATCTTCTGAAAGTGGGGAGGTGTATTGTCTTGTGTGGATGAGTAAAGTGATTTTCTTTGGAATCCAGATGACTAAGCTTTGCCTGTGATTGCAGTATTCCCCGCAGGTAAGATTCAATTACTCTGTGTGAAGGACAGAACATTATCTAGTAAAAAGCTTTGAGAGGAAATCCTGCTTACAGTGTGTCCAGCCAGTTATTTTTTGCACAAGATAAAGAAACTGGCTACAAAATGCCAGCAGAGACACAAGGAATCTTAGGAGGACAGAGGGACCTCTGTTAGACTCATGCATTTTCCATGATCACATTACAGTAAGCTTTGCTTCAGTGAGTAAATGGACAACACTCATATTGTTGCATAGTGAAAGTTTCTGGGGTTGTTCTCTGTTTACACAAATCCACTGGTTGAATATTAAACAGCAACTCAGCATTAAGCACAGATAACGACAGGGTGAGAAAAAAGCATCTGGTAACCAACAATAAAGGTCACTTTATCAGTGTACCAACAGATTCTGGATGGTACTGGATCCGCATTCATTTTTTTACATATAGTCATGTGTTTTTCCTTGTCATATTTCCACAGCTATTTCCTTTTTGTTGCAGTAAAAAGTTTAAAGAGGTAACTTTGTCCCTTACATCCTTTATGTTTTTACTGGTATCCTGACAGCTCATTCCTTTGACTTACCCCCCACGTCATGTCAACAAAGAGCATTTAGATAGGCACTCTCCCAAGTTGGAGTAAAATGAAACTGTGTTTTTTTTCATGGGAATCATGTGGTTCTTTTCCTCTTTCTTCTTAAATGTTGATCCCATCACTTCCAGTTTCCTTTTAATACCATGGGAGCACTTCTCTGTTTGTCTTGTGGCAGAGAGACAGACTTGAGACAAAACAAAAGCAATGATAACTATCTTCTGTGGAAAGATCAGTCTTTTATCTATAGTCCATTGTTCTTTAGATTTCACAATGCTTTTATTTCCAACTCAAACTTAAGATGACCTTTTATGCTGCTGAAAACGGATCAATATTGTCACTTCATCACGTGTTTAGAAACCCTTCAGCTTGAGAAGAAACATCCCGTACTAAAGCTGCCATTTTACACACCATTAGCTATCTTGTGACTCACTTGTGTAAATATCTGAGTACCAGTAATCCAAATTAGCTGGAAACGCCGGCAAGGCTTTCTGAGGTTGTTCCCTGTATCACTGTGAACACCAACAGGAACATGAAACTGATAGCTATCCCATTGCAAGCTTTATAACATTTATTAGACAAACACACTTGAACATTAGAGTTCTGTTTGGCAGCACTCTTTGTTTCATTTTGAGTCCCTTTGTTTTATTTTGCTGGGAAAAAAACAAACCCTTGTCAAGAGATTAAAGCTAACTATTGGCATGTGTCCAATAACCATTTATTGGAATGCTGATACCCACCCCCTGGGTCTGATTTACTGGTTGCCCAAACCTCTGGGAGTGAGATCGCAGGACAGTGCATGTATTGCCAACACGTCGCTCGCTCCTGGACGCTTAGGGAGTGAGAGTGTGTTGGTATTGCCTGTGTTTAGTTTTTGAATAGGGAGGGTTTCAGCAACACGACTGGAATCTTAATGCTTGTTTTCTTAACTGAAGCGCCCTGCTTGTCTTTCACGACCTCCCCTGGTGAATATCTTCTCCTATCATCCCCTCCTGCTCCCATCTGATGGACTGCTCAAACAAACTTTGACCCTCGCTGGATTGAAAACGTCTTACTGTGTGCAGCTGTTTATTCTCAGCATTCCCACTTTCCCAATTTCAACTATACAAACACATTGTTCTGGTTCCAATTAATTATTTCTGTGGGTCACAAGGGCCAAGGGAGGATGTGATTACTCTACATGCTCTAAACCTCCCTACAAAATCTGTGTCGGCCTCTAGATTTGTTATTTACTGTTGAAGATTTGTCTTCTACAAATTCATCACACTTAATCATCATTAGCCTTACATCCTTCCCATCAGGGCAACCTTTTCCCCATTTCAAGGAACTCATATCCTGGAATATCCCGCAATTCTGAAATCTGAAACATCTAAAAACAGGATGTGACTGCATGCATGCTGTTTAGAATGGAAATTCCACTTATTGTTATTGCTTCTTGTGAAAGTGAAATAAACTATAATGTACTTATGAAACAAGCCAAGATATTAACACTGAGAAGAACATATTTAGTTTCGGAATCAAAAAGTATCCATAAATGATGTAAACATGTCAGATTTTGGTAAGAAAAACATTCTTTAACAATTCAAAATATGAATGACTTTGCTGGGAGGGCTGCAGAGATTCATTTTGTCTCGCATGTGGGTGTGAATCTCTGCTTTGGTGACCTTAAGGAGTTTGGGCATAATTAAACCTTTATGCGTACAAAAAATGTGGACAGTTTAGCTTGAACAAGAAGCAGCATTATGCTATTCCTGCCATCAAATCTGTTCCCTATGGCTCTTATTTCGAATTAAAGCAGCAGGATTTTTGCATTATTATTCAGGGGGACAGGGGGTCTTTGTTTATATATGTGAAATATGTAAACACAACAGTAAAACATTTCTATAATTTCAATTATAATTATTTGAAACCTATAAAAAAACAACACACACTCCAATCATTTAGTTATATGATCATTGAACAGAGATATTTTCCGTTTCAAACCTACTTACAAACAGATTTGCTGAGCCATTATGTATATTGGGAGTGTAAAGCAGCTCAAATGTATTATCCCCTGAAGCCTATTATGTTTTGTGCACTTTGAACTGCCATATTGTTCAAAGGTGCTACACAAAGAATCTTAAATGGTCTAAATCTTAATCCACCCAATCTCAATTTAATGTGATATTCTCAGATTGTGTCAATTGCATGTTATAAAATACAAACATCAATCTATGTAAATGTGCTAAAAAAAACTAGGCTAAGTAACATCGCCTGACTCCCACACACAAACCACCAGCGACCGTACAGAAATAGAGAGAGAGAGGGAGAGAGAGAGAGAGGGAGAGAGAGTATACCTACCAGTGTGCTGGCTGTGTTCCTCTCTCTGCTCTCTCCTCTGAATGTACTTCATTGGTTTATTACGGACCGGACACTGCAGCCCAGGAGAGAAGCCGAGCAGAGCTGGGATAAACGACAGAAGGGACATTGTTAAAATCCAATGACTAAACAACGGAAATGAGTGAGAGTACATCATTTATTCGAATCTTCGTGGGGGTCCTGCTCAGTGCGACAGGTAGGTCTTCACAATGCTCAGAAGGCTTTGTAATGTATGATATTGTTACCTTTATTTTTGTACTGTTATTAAACACAGGGAATATTTAATGGTTAACCATGAACTGTAGCTTGTATTCAATAGGCTCCGAAAACGTTGTATACAAGCAACTGCTATAATAAACCAAGCGCCAACAATAACATGTAAAATAGGTAAAAGTGTGAGGTGTAAGTGATGGGTGCACAACTTAGTTTTAACCAGAAGGGGGCGGTGTATATATAGAAAGGGACTGCCAGCGCATTGTGCACGGAGGGCAAACAAAGAGCTTCACATTGGGTTATTAGAAAATGGCTTTTAATCTGAGACTCTTTTAGAATAATACCTTTCAAAGAAAATTAAAAGCCTGTGACCAGCCGTCACAAACAAAGGTTCATGGAATATAAATATCTTAAAATCCGGCCCGTTACTTAATTTGTTCAAATGAAAAGTGTTTAGTAGGATAAGCCTATTTATGTAACAGTGTTGCTCAATGTACTGGCATTGACTAAAGCTGCACATCTCCAAGGAGAGCTGAAAAACAGCCGACATTTATTTCACAGTTCTGAATGTACACCAAAGTGAGATCTTGAAAAGATTTAGAAGAAGCTGAGGATACAGAGAGCTTGCCTCAATAATTAATTACCTGCATTTTAAATGGCTTAAGTCCACAAATACAATTTCTCTAACGTTTGGTGTTTGACAACTGTTAGTTTTTTGTTAATAAAGTTGTTTTAAAACAGTATTTAAAAGTAAAGGGCGTTTGGTGACTAATTGGGAAAGTTGGGGAAAGCATCGAGACAGGGACTTCCTGCCCATTCTTTGATGGCATCTGCTCAAACTAAAAGTGAAACTGCTTTTCATTCTACTTATTTCCAACTTCTAAACCTCCAAAGAAACAACGCCTTCTTGGATATCTAATCTGTATCCAGGATGTGTCAATAAACAGCCCTGCACTGTTTCCTATATCTTCTCATTCAATCACAGTTATTACTGGAGAAATCCACAGCGCCCAAAAACCTTGTTTGATAAATTCAAGTTAAGGGAAATGACTGGGTAATTGAAACACTTAAGTTTATTTTTTACCCCATTTAGCTGCTATTATTGACGTACATTATGCATGCACTCAAAAACCAACTAGGAAGCAGTTGTTGATGCATTTTAATCACCTTACATACAACACACAAAAGGAAAAAATGCAAGAAAATGTTTCTCTTGTGACAATTATGTGAATGTGCTACAATATGTCCCATGCTGCAGGTGTATTTACCTCCTGTCCCATTGAGTTGAGCCCCCCCAGTGTTGTGGTGAGATATGGAGACTCGGTGTCAGTCAACTGCAGCACATCGACGAGCCTGTTTGATGGAATTGGCTGGGAGGCTACACAAGGAGGCAAAAGTCTAAAGAATGTCACCCATATGGCCTGGACAGTGGAGAAGCTAACAGAATGGACCATTTCTCCCTCATGCTACATCAACCCGTTCCCGGAGAATTCCTTTCCCCAGTGCTCCAAGAACCCTAAAGTTGTACTTTACAGTAAGTCTTGCTCATTTTGAGTGAAATCAGAATGATACTCTGTCTGATACTATGTCTAAAAATGTATCTACTTTTTCTCCAGCATTCCCAGAAAACATCAGTCTCAGCTCCAGCAGTGGCCCACATATGCAGATGTCTGAAGGGGAGAAACATAACTTCACATGTGACATCCAGAATATAGCTCCTGTTCAAAATCTCACCGTAAAGTGGTACAAAGGAGATGAAATGGTCTATGAAGACACTTTTAAAGATCCCAGTAAGGGACCAGTGGATCAGTCATCTATATTTAGCTTCATACCGACCAGACAAGACAACGGAGTAACATTCAGATGCGAGGCACACTTGGACCTCCGACCTGAGGGTCCACAACTAAATGCATCTTCACAAGAGTATAATATTACAGTATTTTGTAAGTATATAATGCATACTCACTCACCAATCTGAAAGCCTATTTAAGTTATATAGGCTTTAAGAAAACTGTCAATTGTATTTTGTATTTAGATTGTTATTTCATGTGTTATCTCCATCAAGGTTTGTTTTTCTTCAGCCGGATTACAGAGACAGACCTGATTTACATGAATACAGTTGGAAGGGTGTATGGCATGGGCCAATAAAGAACCCATTACATTATTGTTAAGTAATTAAAATGCCCTTTGAGAGGTCTGCAAAAATAAAAGGGCACTTGAAGAGCCAATGCTAGGTCAATAAAGCAATAATTAGATCAACTGAAAATGTATAAGCAACTGTTTAAACTATTAATCCTGTCATTTGTCAAGAAGAAATACCAAACATTTGACCTATTGGACTACAAGACACTTTGTGATGTCACCTTGAGCTGTAGCAATTTGTGATTTTTCCCTTTTTAAATTTTACACACAAAAAATTATTCAACAAAATAATGACTAGATTAATCAAAAAGGAATATAATCACAAGTTACAGCCCTGAGTTATCTTACATGCATGTCTAAAAGGAGAAGTGTCATTTAAGCCTAAAATGATTTTTCTCTGTTAAATAAAAGTACAATAGTATAAATTCTTGTTGTTTTTGGTTCTGTATAGTTGGACCAGAGGTTCAATGTGCTGCTGTACTGGAAGGAGAAACATTGGAAAGAAGATGCTCTGTAACGGGATATCCTATACCGACGGTCACATGGTTGAAAAATGGAACATCCATAGAACCGACCGAGCCTTTGAGCAGGGAGAACGCAGGCATGTACGTCGCTGTAGCTAAAGGCGCTGAATCAACCACAACGCAACACCGGATTGATGTGTGGTGTGAGTATCACAGTCATCAGCACAAACAGCAACCACATGAGCATAAAGACAATATTAGTGGTGGGGTTACTGTATATTTACAACATTTTGCACATATATTTTACACAGATTCTGGGTTCTGCTTTTCCTGTTGTCAGGATTGTTCCTTTAATCTGTAGTAGTGTTTTACTTCAGTTTAAAAAGCAATACTACAGTATACAAATTATTCTACTGCAAGTGTCAAGGCTTCAAGTAACAGTAAAGACGTCTGTTCATCTTAATATACTTAGGTATAAAACTCAAAGTACTTTTCATGCAGAATGCCCAACTTGTTACATTATTATATTTTTTGGTTACTATTACATATCCCTTAATGTGTAAATAGACTTTTACTATTGTATCTGCTTGAGATGGCGGTCATTTTAACAACTTTAAACAACTCAACACACCGACAAGTAATTCAAATAAGAACAGATGAAAACTTTACAAAACTTTAAACTGCATGGAAAGTAATTCACATAAAAGTCTGTTTATATAAATGTCTGATAAATGTAGTGAACTATGAACACCACTTGCTAGCTGTTGTATTGTCAATCCACTGTATACTAAAGAACAAGTGTTTTTGTTACCAGATAAACCAGAGTTTAAGTGTCCGAGCAATTACACTGCACTGGAGGACGCTCCTCACAACCTCTCATGCACTGCTGAGGGCTTTCCTAAACCTGAGGTTATGTGGTTTAAAGATGAAGACGAGGTGACCCTTCCAGAAAGCTTGACAAGAAGTGATACAGGGCAGTATGTGATCACAGCTTCAAACAATCTGTCAAGTATCAACGTCACAGTGGAGATAAATGTCGTATGTAAGTTATTCTGATGAAAATCCTCAATATTTACTTTTCGTTTGAGCGTTTTTCTCTATGACTTATATTGTTTCACTGTTGTCTGTAGACCCACCATCCCAGATAGTCGAGCTTGAAGACTCAGAAGTTGATGTTGGTTCCGATGTGTGGTTGAAGTGCTCCTCAACGGGCAACCCACGACCAAACTATCTCTGGGATTATTATCAGACTGCCAATGTGGTGGAGGAAAATGAAGATGGAGTGTCCCTTCTGCACATCCATAACGCTACTGTATACAACAAGGGCTCCTACACATGTCACGCCTGGAATGACAGAGGAAATGTCTCTAAAACAGCCACAGTCACGGTAAAAGGTATGGGTCAATATTATGTATACTAGGCTGTCACAGTATCAGATTTCCCCTATGTGATTATGATGCCAAAATAATTCCCCAAAAATATATATTGGCCATATCTACAGAATTGTTCAAAAACTAAAATTCTGTCAGTCTAATTCATTTTTAACATTATTGTGCGTTTCTTGTCTTTTTGGCAAATAGTAACAATAATTTGTGAAGGGAAACAAAGAAAGAACAGAAATAAATAGCCTATCGGCTCTGAATAATTTGCACAATAAAAAGAATGCTGCTGAATAGGCGAATATAAGTAGTTTTTTTTTTAGCCAGGACTTCAAAGAGCTTACATGACAAACCAGTACACCACAAACATTTATTTTAAAGGAGAAAATCATGAAATAAACATGGAATAACACCGATCACATCACTAGAAATAATGTATAAAACAAGTTGAAATTGATTACAAGTTCACAGTACGAAACCACTTGAACTCACCAGACAGATTAGCTGAGCGAACACAATAGGGGCATTCCCAGTTCATGTTGGGAGGGTCCTACGAAACCACTTGAACTCACCAGACAGATTAGCTGAGCGAACACAATAGGGGCATTCCCAGTTCATGTTGGGAGGGTCCTCTTTAAGGCTACCAAGAGGAAGGAACTCCATTATTGCTGCATAACTTGTCCCCCTGTCAATCACAATGCAACAGCACCTATCCTCCTATCTTGATTTTTGAAGGCAACAATGGCTTGTTGGCTATCTTGTTATTGAGGCGGCTGTGTTGCTCAGTTTGCTGTTTGCTGAAGCTCAAAATATTGACATACAATAGATTTTCAATACTAACAGAGGAAGGGCAGAGACCAAAAATCCATTGCTTAAAATCTATTAAGCACCACAAACTTAGAGAGTACTTATGGAGCACTGCTTTGCACATGCATGCACTGTATTTTCATATTTGAAGACCGAGGAAAGCTGAGGACTTATCCAGTTCAGTACAACAGCCTTTGTACTTGAAATGTTGCTGTGATTATGGGATTTCCGTATGTCGATCTCCTTCATCCAGCCCTTAGGCACTTGACGGCTTCAAAGCCTTCACTGCCACTAGCTCTCCTGTCCCATTGTTGGACTGGTATTACAAAAAGAGACTCTGGATAACTAAATATTTCTAAAACTCAAACACATTTTTTTTAACACACTTAACTTAGTTGGGGAACATGGTAAAAATAATCGTTCATTAGTTGGCATGTCATAGTATGAAAATCACAGGTGTATTACAAAATTATGGCTGCCTTGGGGAGGCCCTTGGTATTGTGCATGCTGGTTCACTCACTGTAATATTAACGGGGACCCTTTTTGGAACTGAGTCATAATTATGGTTATCAAGTTCACCTGTGCTCAACATCCGATGATAAGTCAAAATGTCTGCTATGAAAAGGGTCCAAACAAACCCATGTTGGCCTAAAGTAGGCTACAGACACAGAGAGCAGCTATCAAGGCTCTCATTTTGTAATGTGTACAATTCATATTTATTGTTTTAAACCTATTGTCAATGTAAGCCTTTACGACATATTATTTACTAAACACTTTTAATTGAACCCAATGAACTCTAAAGGGACTCATTTGGATACATTCACCACTTTTATAACCATATTTTTATCATAATGCTAAAACAAGCTAACGCCTCACAGTAGCCAACTGGCACCGCTCATAGTTACATTTATAGACAGCGTGGGTGTGAGGGCTTGCAGTGTGTGTGTGTGTGTGTGTGTGTGTGTGTGTGTGTGTGTGTGTGTGTGTGTGTGTGCGTGCGTGCGTGCGTGTGTGTGTGCCCAGTGCTGGGGGAGGGCTGTTTCCCAATTTCCTCTGCCGTGATGTAGAGCTGGGAGCAGTGCCTACAATCATAGCTTAGCTTAGCTTTCTTCCAAAAAGTCAACAAGTAGCCTCCGGCTGGTCCCATGTAGCTGAGGGGAAGCAAGATACACCTCAGAGGCGCTCAGTCTAACGGAAGAGGGTCGACCGCAGCTGGAGAAACTTTATTCTAATGGAGGATTTAAACTTTCTTCGCCTACTTTCAGTCCTCTTGGCGTTAGAGCTGCTGTCGCTTTCTAACGGGACACCGAGTAAGTTGAGAGTGAAGTTATAGACCTCATGTTTTCTTTTGTGTCGAGATTAAAGTGGCTCCATTAGGCTGGTAGATTTATATGGAACGAAACGCGGGATTGTATTGGTCTATTTATGTAGAGTGCTGAGTGATGAGGAGCTAATTTAAAGCAACAGTAAATTTTAGCTAGTTAAAAAGAGACGGGCTATTCAGATTTTGTTGTTATGTATTATTTACATGTGCTTTGAATGGGAAAACATAATAATTGTGTGTGTTTGTGTGAAGGATTATGGAAAAACAAGTGCTTTAGGGGTGTAATAATTAGTTAGTATGAGTATGACCTTTTGTCCATCTAATCTAATGTGTCAAGCCTCCTCTCACATCCTGTGTATATTACAGTTAGCTGATAACATTGTATGTACATTTCCAACTTAGATTACAGTGAATTGCAAATGGGATTTGGGAATTTGACGCATATATCTTGAGATAATGATATAACATCCAACATAAAGAATGGAGGAAAGCAAGTGTAGACCGTTCCTATGGGAGGGGGGTATATCCTTCCTGAGCCTTTTCCTGTTTCCTCCTGAGACCCAGCTTTTGTTCGTCAGTCATTCCACAACATTTCAACACAACCCTTGATGAGGAAATGTTGTGTTAAGATAATGGATGTGTGTAGACTTTGAATAACATTTCATGCCCCTTCTACATTCCTCAGGTGCCGGGCAAGAATGCCCCATCGAAATAACTCCGGAGAGGATGGTGGTACAATACCAAGACACAGAGCAACGTGCGACATGCGATGCAACACCAACCGACCACCCTCATGTGAACGAAATCTACTGGCAGGTTCTGCCTGGTGTCAAAATTGACAACTCGAGTTGGTCTGTTGACACCCATAACGACTGGGACCCAAAGCCTGTTTGTACTGCAATATTTAAAGTACGAGGAATATGCCAGAAACATTTAAACTTCACCCTCTACAGTATGTATTTCTAACTTTTGGACTTTAATTTTCATCAACCTTTAACATGTTTCTAAAATGTCGGAAGAATCCTGATTTAAAATTGTGATTTCCTCTCTTCAGAAACACCAGACAGTGTCTCAGTTTCTACTGTGGATAACTTGAGCTCAGTGGTGGAGGACAAGGAGTTCCAGCTGCAGTGTGACATTACCAACGTTGCTCCTGCAGGGAACCTTGTCGTGCAGTGGTACCGAGGGAATAAAACCATATCAAAAGGTGAGGAATGCTCTTAGGAATGTTCACCCCAAAATCAAAATGTTACCAATTAGGATTATGTATTAATCTAGATTGTTTTGGGTGTTAGTTACAGAGTGTTAGAGATATTGGCACTCAGCGCCCGTAAATATTTTTGAAAATCTCAAGACATGACTTCCCTAAAATGACCCAGTTACTCAAGATAATCCACAGATCTTGTTCCGAAAGTGTTTCATGTAGGAACTGTTTTTTTCTACTGAACTACTCCCACAAACCGTATAACCATGCTAAAACAATTGACACCTACTCATGGATGAGAGATGTAAACATTATTGTGTATTTCTCTGCTTAACTCTAGCGTAAGTTAACACAGGTCAGCCATGAGTAGGTGTTTGCTTCCTTCTGCGCTGTAATGCAATAAAAAGAAAAAAAAAGTTCCTACATATACTTCTCACAACAAGGGACGGTGGGCAATCTAGATTGATAAATAGCATTACAGGTAACTTATTTACAATGGCAACCTGGCAGAAGACAATGCCTCTTGAGGGGAAGCTGTGTAGGGGCTTAAACAGACATGTGCCCACATGAAGTAATTATTCAGCATACATTAATATAACTTATTATGGAAGACAAATTAGGACTTGTATTTACAGGATTAATGACAACAGATCCTACACAGCCCCGAACATGTGTAATTAGCCTTCATATTCATTAGTTATCCTAATGATGATAGGCCTCATTTCCTTTTTTAATCAGATGTTGCTCATTAAACAACCAGCATTATTAGTGGAAAGGAAAGTGGTGTGGACTGTGAGGGACATTTGTAAAAGTGATCATGTTTTTATTAGACATGATATGACTAGTTTCTTACCAGTTTATCTCATTTTTGCATCTATGTTTGACTCATTTCATGATACTATCTGCAAACCACTTTTTATTTTGTTCTGTTTGTATGTTTCTACAACCTTAGGACAAAAACATTGCATCCATGTTCCATGTGCAAGGTTTAAGTGTTTGTTTAAGAGACTTTAATTGTGTAAATGTAAAATCAAACAACTTACTTTTAATTTCCCCCCCAATTGTCCAGGTTCACTGCGAGTGAGTGGCTGCCTGCCTGAGAACAACACAAATTGTGACATCAATGCTGTCCGGTCCCCGCTGAACGTGTCGTCTACCATCAGCTTCACTCTGGACAGAAATGACAAGAGCGCAGAGTTCAGATGTGAAGCGATATTGGATCTTGGAGCTGAAGGACCAAAGCCTCCTCCAAGCATGATGTCCAGTCCTCTGAACATCACTGTCTACTGTAAGATCACACTTACATTTGCTGCTCAGTAGATCATCATCACTGTAAGATCAAGTGATGATGGACATTCAATGATAATTACATACTTAAACTCATGAAGAGAGGTTGTCGGAGAGTGCTCTCAATACGAAATTCTATTTTCCTATTAAAGATTCAAACATCCTTAACTGATGTAGAAAAGAGCAGAGTGAAGAGAATGGAGACATTGTGATGCTTCTGCAGTGTGTATTGATGCATCATGCAAATATAGGCAGATGTTAATATTTGTAACTTTATTATTTTATTATTATTTAGTGGGGTTTTTTCCCTCTTATGTTATGTATTTTATTTTATCCTATTTTTGAGTTTTATGCCATGTTTACTATTATGATCCAGTTTTACATTTTCCATTGATTATGTTATTCTATCCTGTGTTAATTCAATGTTAATTCTGTCCATTTCCCCCTATTTTCAATACAACAAGTATTGTTGATTTCATGTTAATTTCCTTGAGGAAGAAATTGTAAAAGTGCACAATTATAATGTTTTTTGCCCTTTATTTCTCAACAGATAAGCCCAGCATTAATACCACAAAGCTTCCAAAGAGGATCCCAGTGTTCAGAGGTTATCCTGAAGAGCTTGTCTGTGAAGCCGAGGGTCACCCCCCTCCGGAGATCAAGTGGCTCTACAGCGCAGACAAAGTGCCCCACGAGTCTGGAGACACACTCATCGTGTATGAAGCCGGCCGCTACACATGCAACGCCACGAATGAAGTGGATTCCACCTCTCATGAGGTGGAAGTGATTTTAAAAGGTAAACTTGTAGTTAAACAGATCTCTTGCAAAGGGTTGAAGCAAGTAAATATAAAACGTTATATAAATTAAAAAACTAATATTCATGAGTTTCTGCTGCTCAAATCTTTATTTTACTCGATCAATTTTACAATTTTGCTCTAGACAGCCTTTATTCGCAAAATATATTTCATGAGTAGGGGTTAACCTTAAGGAGCAGAGCAAAAATACATAAAGGTTCAAGGACGATTTTGTCCACCTATTTAAATCCATAACAAAATGCCGCCGTGTGATCTTTTTGAGCGATTTGCCGGAGGAATGGATGGAGGTAAAGGTACGTTTGTTGGAAAGTTAAGCTTATTTTTTTACAATGACTTGCTTGCTGTTGTAATAGTTTATCATTATAGATGTTCCATGTTTTTGATTTTATAAACCCAATAAGCCTGTCTTCCTGTCTTGGCCTTAATCTTACGTTCAAATTGTAAGTTTATATTTAGAATTACACTTTTATTTTTCAGTTTTTCATCCTAATAGCAAAGTGCATCTTTATTTATCCTGCAGTAGAAACCATTATGATATTTCTGGCATAAAAGTTCACATAAATGTAATATGCATGTGTTGAAGCATGAAATATATCTGACACTTGTATTTTTAGCCGTTAATTCTAATATTCATAAATGTTAATATGTTGCCTGTTTGATTTCCTTACAGAGGACTACCTTCCGCTCATAGCTGGATTTGTGGCTGTCACAGTAGTTGCCATCTCCATCGTCTTCCTCTTCATCTACTCAATCTACTACAAGAACACCAAGATGCGTCGCTACAGTCTTAAAAATGCCAAACTTGACACTCAAAGTGGCAACGTAGCCCACTACGGATGTGACATGCAGTTTCCTATGACTAAACTATCTTAGCAGAACATCTATGGGTAGCACAGACTGAACAGCTGACCACTCTGAATGCATCTCTCTGCCACCAGAAACTAAAGTGTGAGTAAGCCTGAATACCACTCAGCCTGCAGGCTCACACTGGACAAGCCTGCATCTATTTTCCCACATACAATAGTATTTGACCATTTATGGAATAATCTAATCATACAAAATAATGAACCTTGGCTTGAGATGTAGACTTTTATATTTACTACTGGATTGTACCTTTTCACTGGAAAGGAAGAAGAGGAGCAAGGGCTCAAAATGCCAAGAAAACTGTTTTAATGTATTTTCACTATAGAACATATTAAGTATGATTATCAATGTTTTATGTCCACATTGGTTTCACCAACGCTTGTGCTTCTCATTATGCCCCCTTAATATTCACTCAAACTCAGATCTCTGTGTGAAATTGTTTTAAAAAACCAAACATGATTTTGTAAAGCACATAGGAAGTGATGACCCTGAAACTGCTGTGGTTTTCATTTCTACTAACAGGAAGTTTGCAGTGTTTTCGCCTCTCAGAAGGTGTGACATTGAATCAGCTCTTCTCACAGTATTGCTTGTACATACTATTCATTGACCCCATTGTCCCTTGACTATTCTTTGTAAGCCACTCTGCACTTCTTTCTGAGTGTGTATCCTTCTCTGTGCCAGGTGCTCCATTGTGCCTTATTGTGTCTGGCTTTGGCCTTATGGGACAAATTGTCTTGTGCCACAGTTTTAATGCTTTTGTATGAATGACTGCAGGCATTTATTGCCTATTACAATTTTAGATTCCGGATGTTTTATGTAAATGCAAAACAATTATATTTATTTATGAGAAACAGCTAAGGTAAAACAATGTAGTACTGAACATAGAGAACAGTCCGGTGTTTAAATGTAAATTCAATGTGAGGGACATGAAAAGATTTGTGAATAAAGCTGTAAATATTTGTGACTGATGTAAAACTGTATTTTAATAATAAAATGGCTTTTCAAACAGATTGTTTTGTTACCGAAACCTTGGATACATGCATGAATACATCTGATGTGTATAAATGTATGATATAAAGCTATATAACACTCTTTTTGTTGTGTCTTCAAGCAACAATTATATAGTGCAATACTGTTGTTTATATCCAAAACTGCAAATGTATCCGTGCCTGGTAAATCTATTTCAGAGTATAGACCCGTGAGAAATCCCACACTTTAAATGTCTTGTCTGTATATTTGGAAGGAGGAACAAACAATAAATCTAAAGAGTTAACATCTAATTAAAGCTAACCAAGAGGGGGCGTGCATATCCGTGTTCCTCCAGCAGCACTATCTATCCTGCAGACTGCTCTTCTAAAACTGGTCTGTCTCGCTAACTGGCTCCATACAAAGCACACACTTTCCAAGTCTGAACGTGTTGCTGGACCGACTCCACGGGAGGGTGCTGTTAACTGAAGCCAGCCGGTTTTACGAGCTGGATTGCAGCCTATATTTGCTGCCTTCTAATGCTGTAGGAAATATTGTTGTTATTCAAGAAACACTTCCTGTTTGAGAGGAGAGGTTTATCTGGAACGCGAATTTTCGGATGTTATTCAATTGATTAATACATCAGTCGATCAAGCAGACTAAACCAATCAATCATCCTTCCTTCAATCCTGCGTTCAGTCCCCGCCTATTGACTATTTACACTGATTACTTCCGACCAACACATGCTACTCTAGAGGCTAATATTTGGAAATTACGAGGAGCACGTCAATGCATCACACATGGATAATGTTACAGTAGGCTACCTTGGTGATTTACGATCATACAGTCTATGCTTACGATGTGATCTCATCTCACTCGGTCACTTACACGGTCACCAAGTGAAAGAGAAAGTAGCTTCGAGGGACTCGGATTTAATCAACTGTACTATTTTTTAATCTTATTTAGTCCTAAAAGTGCTTCTGGTTTGTACGACGGAGAAATCATGAAGTTGTTCCTCGTTTTAAGCGTCTTTATAGCGTGTACAGGTAAGTGTTTTGCATTGTATACAAAGTTAGAAGACCAACTTGTTTTTGTATTTTGCAGCGCCGACTCCACCGGCTGACCTCCGCCCATTGTTTGCTTTATCTTCTTGGCTGATCTGACTCAAATGGTTTGCTTTTTATCACAGGGGGTCGAAATTGAACCATTATCAGGGCAGCCATACATAAGACACGAATATGTGGCGTAAAATATATGACCTATTTTTGGTAAATAATATTATTCATGTATTTAATGTTTACACTTGGAATGATTTAAAAACGTTTTCAACTATCAGAACGATCAGGGCACCACGTATTGTTAATGTAAACACTTTTACAGTTAAAACGTGCTTTTTCTTGTAACAATTGTAAAAAAAAAATTCTTCACAATGTCATCTGTGATGTGAAGTCCTACTATTTTTCCAACAATGATCACTGCAACCTTTTCAAAGTGTCCCATCAGCTTTTGCTTGGTCAAAAACCTATCTTTTAAAAATAATGCTGTTTAAAACTCTACTTTTTTTACTGTGTATACTGTAAACTATATTTACCCTGTACTTTTAGGAAAGCCTGTGAGTTCCTCCTGTGAAATTGAATTCAGCCCTCCCAAAGTTGTGGTGAGATTTGGAGACCCCTTCTCGCTCATCTGCAGCTCAACATCCAACCAGATCGATTCAATGGGCTGGGAGGCTATTTACGGAACAGGTACAGGACTACAGGATGGGGTATCTTCTGTTGCCTTAAAAATAGACTCTGTGAAGGACTGGAAAATGGAACCTCAGTGCTTCGTTAATCTCGTAAATGGTGATCAGTGTTCAGAAACCCTAAACTTCACCGTTTACAGTAAGTAGCTTTTAACTTTCTGTTAATCAATAATGGTGTTTTTGATCATTCAGTACTTGTGATGTTGGATAGCTTTTTGACTATTTTGCCAATTTGTCACCTTTTTTTTTTTTAAAACAGAAATGCCGGACAGTGCCTTCATCTCTCAGCCAAGTCAAATGGACCCCATGGTCGAGGGTGAAAAGTATCGCTTGCAGTGTGACATTGTAGATGTTGCACCAATAAGACACCTCTTTGTGGACTGGCACATAGGAAATAGTATATTCCATTCTGACAGTGACTCATTTATCGGTGACACTGAATTTCCAGTCAATGCTTCATCTGTCTTAAATCTGATTGCTCAAAGAGGCTATAACGGAGCTCAGGTCTGGTGTGAAGCAAAGATGTTATTTTCGCCACCGGTACAAAGCCTTCCCAAGATCCAGTCCAAGCCTCAGAAACTAATTGTACTGTGTAAGTTTTTAATGCAATCTTGAATTAGCCATAACAGTTCTAGATGTTTTTTTAAAGAGAATATGGTGTTTGTTTTGCGTCTGAATTAATCTCTGTTTTTCTCTCTCTGTCTGTATTTTCAACACATTTTTTCTCAGACTCGCCAACCTTCACCAAGCCCGAAAATGAGACGTTTGAACTCTTAGCTAGGAATAAAATAATGTTGAATTGCACTGCTACAGGAAACCCAATGCCGGTATACAGCTGGGGATTCGCTCACCCAATACAACAGACGAAGAAGAATGACAGTCAGCTCATTTTGACCCCATCCATTCGGCTTCCAGGGACCTACAACTGCACAGCGTCCAATACCCAGGGCTCCAGCACCAAGTATTTCACAGTCATCGAAGCTCCAAGTAAGATATTTTTCCTAAAATGTTACAGCAACTCTATTATTGTCTTGCAGTTTTGATAATTCTATAATTGCTTAATGCTATTGTTTTCCATCAGGTAGTCACCCTGGAACCACTGCTGGAATTTTAATTGCTTTGTTCTTAGCAATAATCTTTATTTTGGGATGTGTAGTTTATCACAAACAGAGAAACTCTTCTGCTGCATGACCAGAGAGTCTGAACAGATGAGCTGAGACAGAATGTAACAAAAACTCCCGTCTCCCACAGGGAACCGCACTACCTTTGCAGCCTTGGTTGGAGGATTTGTGTTCCTGGGAGCCGTGCTCTTCATTGGCGGTCTTCTTTTTGTGAAACCTGATGGCACGTTTTCTTTCAGCAAAGTCGGCTATCTCTAAGGACAGCTTGCCTCATCAGGACCTGTATGAGGCCAACTTTTTTTGTATTCAATTTTGCATGGGTTTACCATGTAAGTAGTACATTTTTTACATTTGTTGGTGCTTGGATTAACATATTGTCATGTCTCTTAAAGGCCTAGAAGTATAATCAGTTTGCTCGGCTATTTTGTGGCGTCATTATCATGCTTGGGTGCTATAGCTTTGACATTGCATCGCTTCAGCTGTCTGTAAAGCTCAACTAATCAATATTGCTATATTAACAAACGGCACATTTACATGCGCTCAAGACATCAGGTTACTTGGAGAAACCAGGGATATATTTGGTACACATCTCCCCTTTCAGCTTCCCACTCTGCTGTCAGAGATACACTTTTCCTGTCTGAAGTCTGTGTCCTGCACGAAAGCTGACTCTAACCCAGGTTATTTACTAGGTGCATGCAACCGCAACGGAGCATTAACACCCAACTCTGCAGCTCTACAGAGCTTTTTAACTTCCTTAAGCTCTTTGTTTTGGTTTTGTGGCCTGAACATTTGCTGTATGTTTCTGTCTTAGTAACTCTCAGCCACCTTTTATCAGCAGGAAGGTTTTTCCAGCAACATTTCTGGTAAACCAACTGTATGCTACTTGTCTAACAACAAAGCAACAACATGGGGAAGGAATTTGAGCATGGAAGAGACAAAAGTTTTTCTAAGAAAGGAGTATAGACTGTATGTTGGAGACTTGCATAGAGCTGATAGAAGAATATATATTAGAAACACTATTACATGTATAAGGCCAAAGTGGGTGTGTCAAATTGTTATAGAGTTATTCTGCCTCCAAGTGGCCGCTTTGCCTTTTGGCAGTCAGGAGCTGCAGCCCTCATCTCTTATAACTTAAACAAAATGTCTAATGATAAGATTGCACAAATGGATACTACTGAATGGTACTGATTCAACAACCATTGTTGCCTTATTACAAGCATTATCGCTTGTTTTCTATCCTTTTTTTCAACTAACCAAAGCAAAAATTGAGTTGATCTATTCTCCATGATGTTTTTATCCACTCAGGTCAATGGTCACTACATACTTTCCAGACACTACAATTGTTACAGTAATTACTTTAGAGTGCGTACTGCAACTGGGCAGTTTTATTTTTATGAATAAATTGTGCTATTTCATGTTATGTAAAATATTTGTTACCAAATGTTTCTTTAAAATATGCGCTGGTCCAGCTCTGGAATGTTGGTTTATTTTTGCACTGAAAAGGCTGACCATGCAATTTCTGTAACTTTCCTTCAATTTTATATGAAAAGACATGCGGACAGATGCTTTTTAATAAAATTACGTGATTATGAGCCACTAAATCCTGTGTCAGATATACTATTTTTCTGATGTATCGGTTAGAAATAAAACAAAAGACTGTTCTTCATTGTTAACTGCTGTTATCAAAGACGAATTCTTTCAAAAAAGGGACGTTGTGAATGATCCAAGGGGTTTTAAAGGGAAAATAACTGATTATATGATCCAAAATGTTAATTTCCCCAAATCCTTAGGCAGAATACTAAATGAGGGATAGACGGAAATCCCCTGGATCTCTCTCTCTCTCTCTCTCTCTCTCTCTCTCTCTCTCTCTCTCTGTCTCTCTCTTTGGCTTACATTATGCAGTGATCAGGCTGCCATACTAATCAGTATTGCACAAAGTGAATGTAAAGGAGAGCATTTGTTATCCTGCCTACGGTTGCCAATATAAACCTATTTTTTTCTGAAGGCATGTTCCTTATGTTCAGTCCTTGTCATTTTCACTAAAGGTTTTGCAAGAAAGCACTGTTTGTGTATGCTCTGACTGTGTTGCTATAACAACCTGGCAGAGTGGATATTGCTGAATTTGTCAAGGAGTTAAAAAAAGGTTATGATAGAAACACAAGCTGAACATAATTCTCTAGAGAACTTGAAGAGAGAGCAGCATATTGAAAGTGAAGCATGAACTTTAATCTGTACATTGAGATTCCCAGCTGTGCTCTCACACCAAAGAGCATCCGATTACTTGCTCACTTGCACTGCAGTTGCGGTCAGAGCGGATATGCTGTGTTGCATTCTGGTCACAGTGTGAGGCTTACAAGCTACATGCTGTACCAATACTCCTGCCTGCTGGGATTTCACAAAGCATGGAGTTCAGAAGCAAGAGGATACAAGAATGCAAGCAGAACTGAAAACAGGCTGTTGTTCACAGCCAGTCATGATGGCCGAAACAACAGATCAAATCTCTGGTTGGAAAGCAGAACATGGTCACACCTAAGGCTGGAATGTAGAAAGTATAAAAACAAAACATCCCCCCTTGACCTAAATTAAATAAAGTTCAGATTCTTGTAAATATGTGTATGTGCATTATTTCAGTTTAAAGATATTGGGAAAGTTTGGTTGCTGGAATAGATTAATTGCTTTAACTAAAACATGCTATAAATGTATTACAATTATTATACATGCATTGAAGATGTATTGGTATATTTCAAAATTGACAACATTATGAACACCATAATGGGTTTTAAACGGATATTGTAAATTGATATATTCATCATAAATACTTTCAGCACAATATTATTCCCGGTGATGTAATATGAATGTCTAAGGTGGGACCTGCAATGTCCTGTTTATAATGCATTTTATATAAGAGCAGTGCAGTACAAAGGATTTCGCTGTGTTTTTCAGAGGCCTGCCACCTGTTAAATTTCCCTCTTTCCCTTTCACCCCCCCCCACCCCCCACCCCCAAAGTCAGCTGGGATGAAGGGGGCCCTTTTGTTCCAACATAGTTCCCTGCAGAGTTGCCAAGCTTGTACAAGTTGGAATTTTTCTCTCTCTCTCGTCCCTGAATCGACGGCTCAGTGCACAAGATAACATGGGAAACACATTTTTGAGATGGATTCTGACACTTTGCATGATTTACTCCGGTAAGATTTTTGTTGTTTTCTCACTTGTTGGGGTTATAGATGGCGTTCGGTGCGGAAATGTTCTGGAAAACGATGACATATAGTCTGTGATAAAAATGAATGTGAGACCGACAATCAGAGCAACAAAACGTTAAAGCATTGCTTTATTTATTCTTCGCGGAACCACTAATTATATTGTAATTAGGATTGTTGATCTCTGTAGCGTGAAAATATGCCTGTTAGTATTTATATTACTGCAGTATGTTTCACAAGTGCAATTATGACGGGCTGACAGTTAAGCTGTAGGCCTAATTCCTTATAGAGGGCCCACAAAGTAAACATGTTGTTGACATGGCATACAAATACATCATAATCAATGTAGTTCTATGTAATTATACACAGGCGATTGCGTTGATTTCCTGTGTTGTTGGTTGTTACACGGTAACATTACAGCCTGCATACGAAAAGAGGCCGAGTGCAACAAGTGAAAAGAAGCTGGGGGAGATGACAGGCTAAATAGACGGTGACTGCTGCTGTGTGTCCATTTGTGAAAAGTAACTAAGTCTGAGTATTTAGAAAATGTATGTAGCCTATGTTTTACTCCATTACATTTATTTGACAGCTAGATACTTTCCAGTAAAGATTATTAATATAAAGAAAATACATTTGATGCATTAATATTATAGGTTAAAGGTGGGGTATGTAATTTATTTCAGAAACACTTTTTGTTATATTCCATGGAATGCTCTTAACATCCTGATAGCAATGAATATATGAAATGCTTTGACAATAAATACATTAAAAAATGTAATCTGTGGAAGCCGTAGCGCTGTAAAATGCACGACCAATCATTTTAGCCGGCCCGGCTAAAATAACTGGATGGCCTACCTGCCTGTCAGCCTTCCATCTGTGCACAAACTTATCTCGTGCCCTCATTGGTCATGTGCGCGTTCGTGTGTGTTGGAGGAGGGGCTCTGTAAGGAAGTGGCAGATTTTTTCCGGTTGTGTATTATCAAATTCTAGCGCACTCGAGCTAGTTTCTCCAAAAGTACATACCCCACCTTTAAGCTACCCAGTCGTATAGTCATTCAAATAAGCTCCTCCTTTGCCAGCTGCAAAATGAATACAATGCATCAATAACTATACTCAATAATGGAATATTACTCTGGAATAGGCCATTCTGTTTTAAATGTGGTTACTCTGTAAGTTTGATGCTGATACTTCCACCCATTGTGTCCCAGTGTCAGGTGAAGGTTGCTCCCTCGTCCTGAAGCCCTCCAGGGTGGTGGTGGGCTTTGGGGAGCCGGTGTCGGTCAGCTGTGAAGCTACTCGCCCGGTTCGGGTCCTGGGCTGGGAGTCTGTCATCAGTGCTGCACACACTCAACAGGACCTGTCCGTCCAGTGGAAAGTAGACAGCCTCATTGATTGGATAGAGGAGCCTATCTGTTATGGTGTGTTTTTCACAGCTCCCAGACAGTGTGAGGAAAAACTCAACCTTGTCCTCTACAGTGAGTCAACCCTTTATTTAACACACAGTGTAGAAAATGATCTTATTGACTTACATGAACCTGTTTGACTTGAACTTTTTATTTATTTAGAAACCCCAGATAGTGTCTCCATCAGGCCTGTGAACCACTCTGGCCCCATGGTGGAGGGAAAAGAGTACCAGTTGCTCTGCGAGGTTCAAAACATTGCTCCGGTTCAATACCTCACCCTGAGGTGGTACAAGGGGCAGACTGAGGTATACAACCACTCCTTCACTGAACTCACATCATCCTCACCTGTCCAAGTGTCCTCTATCCTCATGGTCACACCAACAAAAGCCGAGAATGGAGCACAGTACAGGTGCGTAGCGGAGCTGGAGCTCGGACCAGAGGGACCACAGCCCCCCCCCACTGTGACCTCGGAGCCTCTCAATGCCTCTGTGTACTGTAAGTCCTGAGGCTTATCTGCAAAAACAGTTATCATCAAAGTCAACTTTATTGTCAATCTTTCAGTTTGTGTGTACAGAAAGAGAGATCGAAATACCGAATACAAAATACAAATATTTATAAAAATATGTATACAAATATGTATATACCTATAAATACACAACCAACAGACACATTTATACATTATGCACACATTAAGACATAAATAAAAGCACAACAATCAATTTATATACAAAATAACAGTCACTTCAAAATCTGTGAAAATGTACATTAGTGCAAGACTGTCATAGCAGCGGAAAAAGTGTCTACATGTATATTTATCATATTTTCAATGTTGTGTATATAATACAGTTACTAAAGTATTCTAACTTTTTCACGAGTATTTATATTTCCTGCGACTATACTGTATATTTCTACTACACTAGAATTTTGAGGGGCAACATTTTACATTTATAGGACAGCTTTGGAGATTTAGAAAAATTCTATTAAATAATGCAAAATAAAATCAACAAATCATCAATTTTGTAATATTACATGTTAAAAAAACACTCTTATGATCCTTTGGTGAAATTCGCAAGCTACCCTGTATACATACTTCAAATTCAATAGAATTGTATGTTCACTCAATTGAAAATGCTGAATTTAATCCTTGTGATCTTTGCTCTAGTTCCTCCTACTTTCCTCGATCCGGTACCAGCGGTCTTGGACCTTACAGTAGGTGCTGCAATGACCTTAAACTGCACCGCCACAGGGAACCCTACGCCTGTGTACAGCTGGCAATCCTCCAATCCCATTCCCGAGGGGATGGGCGATGAAGCAGCTCTTACCTCCTCCTCACTGCTGCCAGGGACCTACACCTGCACAGCCTCCAATACACTGGAGAAGAAGAGCAAGCAGTTCATCATCAAGGCCAAGACCAAAGGTATGAGGGGACTCTGAAGTGCACATGTAGTCTCTACACACTGCCTCTTAATCAGCATCTTCTCATGCTTTCACTTAGGTGTTTGAAACAGGAAATCCTGAGAAGGGCTCAGATGACAACAATGGACATACAAGGAGAATCCAACAATGGGGATTTTACTGCTGCTGCTTTGGAGATGGAAATGACCTTCATGACTCAACAGATATTTATGAGGATCTTGCTATCAGGCAGGATTAGATCTCAATTAAAAACAATATATTTGATATACTTTGTTCGGTAACTGTTGTTTAAACTGTCAGTATTTTAACATGAAAGTGTTCGTGAGATAGATTGGTTATTTAGGATATAGTTATGCTTTCAATGTGATATCCTTTCTCTAATTTATATATTTGCTAGATCTATTTTCGTATTAATGAAATTATCGTGTAATTTTACCAATGTGTAGCTACTCTTGATATAAAAATGATGACGACATTATTATTAATGTATGCTGGAAATTAATTAGGGAACGTTAAAGATCACCCGGCCATTACTGTAAATATGAATTGTTAATTTTTCTTATCTTTATGAATAAAAGTTAAATGAAAACATTTTTGATTTTCACTTTTTTAACACCTAGATTTACCTAGATTTAATATTATCAAAATTAATGTGTTACTGTTGGCTGTGGGTCAAGTGTCATAAGAACATACATAAAGTGATTTTGAATAAAAATTACCTTTAACAAGTCAAAAAACATAATGTTTAGAATCAGGCTACAAGAATATGGATATGACAGTAACAACCACAGAGCAATGAGTTTTATAGACACAATTATTATAATACAGGTTTAAATTGACATAATAAAAAGTATTTTCACAAATTGGTCAAAATCCTTCAGTTACATTTAATTTCCCTTGTTGCCATCATTATTATGATATGTATTATATGCCTTTTTTGTGTTAACGAACTAACCAAACACCACTTTACTTTGTGTAAAGTCTTTCAAATACGATATGTGAAAAATAAGCAAAGGTCTTCCCATAAATTCATAGAGGTAAGACTATTTTTCTGAAGAACAGAAATAGCAGTTTGTATTGTTTTAATGTCTGCATGTAATTCATTACGCACCACCAGGTGTCGCTGCTGCACTCTTTCACATCATAATTTGAAATTCTATCCAAACGTCACGTGATCAAAACATTGTCTCGCTGAAGGAAGTGCTATTAGTTTAGCGGCTAACACCAACATACGACCTTTAATCTAAATCGTCATCAAAATACGTCCTTGCAATCTACCCGGATTCAAGACAAGGTGGGGACAAGAATATACAACGAAACTGTTTTATATATCTATGAGTGATGTTCTGTCCTTTGTAATGCAGTGCCTGATGTATTTTAACATATTCTGAAATGGTCCCTTTTCGGTCCGCTTCAGGAGGTATGCCACAGAAAGATCCGTGTCAAAAGCAAGCATGTGCAATTCAACACTGTTTACAAGGTACACAAAACAGTCATTTGAATGCAATTATGTTTTGTTTAAATTAACCCCACAGTAACCTTTGCTAACTCCTCCTGCAGCTAACAAATACGTGGAGAGCATGTGTCAGGATGTGATCCGGGACATGCGGCGCTGCTGTGAGGCCCGAAACTCGATCTGCTGCTCCGGGTTCAAGGACTCAAAACCCACGGAAAAGCAAAGTAACACATAGCTCCCTGTGGGATGCTTTCGATGGGAATCATGGTGAAAAGTCACATTGTATCAATGTTTTATTTACTGTCACATTGTCTCTATCCTGCAACAGCGAAGTACAGTGACTTAAATAGTCTTTGAAGAATTGTGAAATGGCCTTTCTCGAAGCAAACATTTTGACATGTCTTTGCAGAAAGGCACTTGAGCCCTGGGGCTGGCACACCTACAGTAGGCTATATGGAGTGTAACCACTAGTACTGTTATTAAATTAAACCCGTGTTCAACCAGTCAGAATGTCCTACCTCTCTGGCACACCATAACTTGTGGAAATGTATAATGTACACTGTCAACTGACTATTTATTAAAAATAATTGTTTTCTGCAATTGTGTTCTGTGGCTTTTCATGTCATCAAATTCAAAGGAACACTGTTGTGCAATGTCAGCCCCTGAGCTACTGAAACATTCATAATGTGTCCTAGTGTCCTGTCTGTCTGTCTGTAACTTTGTGTGGTAGTGTTACCACTGACAGGTCTCTCTTGGAAATGAGACCTTGTGTCTCAATGAGATTTTACACCTGTATAAATAAAGGCTAAATAAAAAAATAATGCAGATGTGACTTTTTAAGGGCCTGCAATCACTCATGGTAAACCAATCAGTTGTGTTTGAATATAATGTTGACTGATTAGACCTATTGACTGTATATGAAGAGATTATACCTCTTCCCAGGATCGAATGTGTACAGACTACTTTACTGACACCTGCCTGACCCATTTTTTTGTAGTTAAATAGTACACTGACTCTGTTGACCTAACATAATTACCAGTATAACGCAGCACATCTATTGATTTTCAAGAATACAAAATAAACAAAATAAATTGGATGAATTACATGAAATTGTATTTTTAAAATACAAACAAAACAGACAGGCATAGGTTATTGGAGATGACATGTACAACATAAGTAGTAAATATAAAATAAGGAAACATCCATATGAGGCAGCATACTAATATATTATTATTATTATTAATAATAACAATTTGAATACTAAATATATATATATATAAAACAATAATATAACTTAGCACATCTTTAACGTAAGCAGAGGTCTCATCTATGATAATTGAAAATACAGTCGGGCCTCTGATAACACATCTTATTACTGGGAATAATTTACATCACCTAAATATACATTCAAATAAAAGTGGTGTTCTGTCAGAAATGTTGCAAAAATATTGTTGACGCTTTTTTTGCAGAACATAAGCAGTAACCATGTGCATGAAACACAGTTTATTTGAGTTTGATTAGCACTTAACTGTCAACAACAACAACAGTCGTCTTTTTTTTATTTTCCGGCGTCGTACGTGCGTATGACGCAGTGACGTAATGACGCAGTGACGCCAAACGGAAATGTGCAGCAACGATTCTTTCTAGAAATCTGTAGCAGTTTCTCGCTAGCCCGCCTTAGGTAGGTGTAGGTCCATCTAAGTTTTCCTTGGCCAGAAACAGCCAACCACTGCATCGACTACTAAAACATCTTAGTAAAAAGTGTTGAGTTGTTTGCTTCATCGGCTTTTATTAGATTGGAGATTGAGGATAGCTTAGTTTAGCCTCCTAACTTAGCCGAGTCATATCCGAAGCTAACGTTGTTTGGCTCGTACTGGTATAATGTCTAGGATAGACTACAGCGTGTGGGACCATATCGAGGTGTCAGACGATGAAGATGACACCCACCCGAACATCGACACACCCAGCCTCTTCAGATGGAGACACCAGGTACAGATTTAAACAATTGTATATTTACAGTACGTATTTACATGTATACGTCGTTTCATAACTGTCCTGTTCTCACTTTGGTGATGTATACGACTGCACATAACTTCAATAAATCATTGAGAGGGGTAAGGACCCAAACCAGATTTATTTTTGGCTAAACAGACTACAGCTTGCTTCACGTTTTTACATTGGCATTTGTTCTGCAACACTGACCCCCACTGTTATTGTAATATATTGTGGTCTTACCATTACTGCTGGTGCTAAAGTATCATATTACCCATTTTAATTAGTTTAAATGATCACAACACATTTTCTAGATAATGTGTGTATCTAATATTGTCACTATCAGTGGTATAAGTTGTCATCTCTGACCATTACTGATGGAGAAGCTGCCTCCAATGGCTTCAGCCAGTTCCCTAAAGACAACATGAAACCCTTGTACCTGTGCTGTGGACTTATGTATAACTGTTATCATTTCTGTTCTTCAGGCACGTGTGGAGCGAATGGAAGATTACCACAAAAAGGGTGACGACATAAGCAAGGCACTTAATGAGAGCCGTCGTAAGCTGGCAGAGGCACAAAAGAAAGTACAAGAGCTGTCCGCTTCATCAACCGATGATGCCAAAGCAGAGCTGAGCAAAGCCCAGGCCGAGGAGAAGAAACAGAAAAAAGAGGAGCGGGATATAGATAAGAAGCTAGCAGAACACAACCGGGAAGAGAAGAAGATGCCATGGAACGTCGACACGCTCAGCAAGGAGGGTTTCAGCAAGGTGAGGCAGATTTTGGATTTAGGATTGGCATCAGATAGTTATATTTTCACTACAAGTCCCTATTTCAACAAAATGATATGTGGTTAAGAAGATTGTAATAGTACAAAAGTAACAAACTAAATAATAAACTATATCAGCCTTTGGTAAGTTTATATTTATTAGAATATATTGAGTCGTGTTTTTCTGTCTTTAGTCTAATAATTATAAAAGTAACTTCTCAATAGCACTTTAACAGTACATTTGGTCGTATCTATCCTTTTTTCAGATAATTTAAAGATGATTTATTTGCATGGTCTATGCTAAAAAAATATATACACCCTTTTGCAACAATCTGGTTAATTATATCTTTATTTATCCATCCAAATAAAATTAAAAAAAATTATATAATACAATAAATTGGCTTCTGTCCTTATCAGAAACATAGTCTGTAATGATGATTTTCTGCCCCTGTTTGTCCTCCTCAGAGCGTCGTCAATGTCCTGCCTGATGCCACTGAAGAGACTGAAGAAGAGAAGGAGACAAAGCATAAAACCTTTGTGGAGAAAAACGAGAAGCAGATCAAGCATTTTGGTAATTCTTATTGATATCTATGCATCTTTCAGAGTGTTGGTATATAAAGAAAGTACAGCTGGCCTTTCATTGCTGTCTTTAAAATAAAGGTCCATCTTCTTCTTATCTTCTTCTTTACTACAGGCATGATGCGGCGTTGGGATGACAGCCAGAAATACCTCTCTGACAACTCTCATCTAGTGTGTGAAGAGACTGCCAACTACCTGGTCATCATGTGCATTGACCTTGAAGTTGAGGAGGTAAAAACTAACAAACAGAATGTTTTTTATTAACATTTAGCTCCATGGGAATTGGTACTTACAGTTTGTTTTATGGGCTGTAACATTGTGATACTTTAACATGCACCAGCAATAGTGTTTTGAAAATATGTACATTATTCTTAAATTCCTTTTTTTTTGTAGAAACACTCATTGATGGAGCAAGTGGCTCATCAGACCATTGTCATGCAGTTCATTTTGGAATTGGCAAAAAGCCTCAAGGTGGATCCCCGCGGCTGCTTTCGGCAATTCTTTGCCAAGATCAAGGTGAGTAACTGCCACAAAGTCCATAAAATAATTCATAGCTTTTTTGATAAAAAAAGTTCAAGGTACTATGGAGCTAAACTCAGACCCTAAACTAGGAACTAAAGTTTTTGACATCGGCAAATAAGTCAAGTGATGCTAAAAAAACAACAGTGTCTTAAACCCAATTTTATTATTTTACACATTATAGATGCCGTTAATAACTGTGTAATATATACCTGGCTGCTAAATCCTAAGAACTGTTACAGGATGTGTATTTTTTTAAATTATGTAACTTTTTATT